ACTTACAATTACAAGACTTCATGGTTTCCGCTACATTCATTCTTCCATGGCAGGGCGCCACGCCAAAATTGATCCCATCACGGCTACATTACAACTTCTCATACAAATCATTCAGTTCTGTTTTTTTTTTCAAATAGTGGGTGATAATCGCAACAAAACATATTGGAAGGTAAGTTAATAATAACAGTGCAAACTTTTCTGTAACCGTAGTAGTGCTAAGCGTCATTTGTTTAACCCTTTAAGGTGACGTGCTGACTGACTGACTGACAGGGGCGTGATGCGTGAGGCCAGCAAACATGATGGATAGCTGTTTCACTTTACTTCAAGACGAATTAATGCCACTCTGTAGGTCTATTGGAGACATTCATAAATATTCCTAGCAAATCTAATAAATGTTGGAGACATACTTGTTACATAAACACACTAAATCGCACTTCAGCAACGTTTGAGCGCACACAAGAAGATCTGTACTTGAGCAGCGTATATTTGAGGGCGTGCAAGAATTTTTGTGCACGAGCAGAGGAAATCGGCGTGCAAGCAAAGAGATTTTGCTGGAAAAACAGCTGGAAATAAATCCTAGAGAGAACACTGGACTTATAAACACAAAATTGTACGATAAAATCAGAATTCGGTCTTATAATCACAAGATTTAGAATTGCGAGTTATTCATTCATGTTGTCCCAACACAAATCCATTAGTTTAACATAATTGTTTTAACCGATTTCAGTGGGTTAAACACAAAACAATTAAGTTGTCCCCAAAAACATTCAAGAATGGTGTTGTTTCAGCTCATTTCAAATAAGTTTTGAACAAACAGCCATTTTTGTATGTGTGTGTTGTTTTGTTTTGTTTTTGGACGCAGGTTGGTTTATTAACCATTATTAATGTCACTATTGAGAAAGGATTTTTTTATGTTTATATTAGTTGTCTCTTTTCACAGAATTATCAAATAAAACTGTTTTATCTAACCAAGCCACCTTCTTGACTGCCATTGTTTGTTTGTTTTATTTACCATTAACTGACTTTATTTCTCGCAACTATAAAACAATTTCTTGCTGTGAATTGGCCACCTTGTTAGATATTTATTGTTGCTTTACCAATCGTGTGTGTTCTGGTCTATATTAATTTACAGTCAGTAACCTAAGAATGTTAATGAACCTGTGGACGAACAAAAACAACAAAAAAGCTTCGGGTTAAGACAAATCAAAACCTCCACATTTCTTCACCTAAGCCACCTATCAATTTACCCCTCAGCCACTCGCTAATTTTAATAGGTGCCTAAAATCCCAATCAAATAAAATAAATGAATAAAATGCCCGTAAAGCGAACACTGCAGCACCAAATTCCCTGGTCATCAGACGTCACATGCTGTTTATACATACACAATACCTGCACCTTGTTTTGTCTGAGATTCTCACAAACCGCAAATAAAACGCAGACAAAACAAATCCTGAAGAGCTAAACAAACATATCTATGACCCTTTAATCAAAGCCACTCAGGGGTCAGCTTACATTCCGCATTGCGTTTAACATTTACAACGACCAAACAATACCTGTGTGTAGTTCGTTAGAAATTATTCGAAATTCGAATTTGAACGAACAGCTTCGAAATATTTAAATAGAACAGAACACAAACAAAAGAACATTCGGACTGTTTCTGAACCCGCACTCAAACAGGTTGTCAACAAAAATACCTCAGAAATGTATCTCACCGTCAATGGCGAATATGGACGGCACCAAGAGCAGTGTAATTCCAATAGATATCAGACACTTGGTCCAGACTCCGTCCACATATTTTCTGCACAAGGACAAGCCTATCCATTCCGACGTGCGTTGGGTTCCAGCTTTGCCGTTCCCGCAACCGGAGCCCAAAATGTAGAAATTGTTACGCGCGTTACTTGGGGCCATCTGGCTAGAGATAAATTCAGCAATAGGCCGAAAGGTCCCGAAAAAGACATTTGATCTATCCTTTCCAGTTCCTTAAACTGAGGTCTTCTCTCCACTGTTTTGTTTTTCAGCTCTGTGTCAGCATTGAAAGTTTAAGGCGATGCGTCTGCAAAGCGCATTCAGGAGCATCCGTGACCGACACATCAATCACGCGCGTCTTCATACAGCAGGCTATTTCTATCGCGCTCCATCAAACGCGTTTCCAGCATCGGAATCCGAGAGCGTCAACGCTATAATCCCGCTTTTACATTAAGGTTGTTGCGAAGGGGAGGAAAAGGGATGCATTTGATTAGGAAAAAATAGCACGTCTCCAAGAGAGAGAGAGGATGGAGGCAAACTGGTGATGAGGCGAGTTATTATGAGGACTGATGTGGCAGTGGAAGACGACCTCTGCTGGGTTTACACGAGGATGAAAACCCGCCAATGAAAACCTCGAAAACAACAGGCATTCCACGAAATTATTTATTGTAGTCCGTTTTCTTGTTGCTAATATATTATAACAATCCGTAAATTGCATTAAGCTATTTTATAATTGTATAATTTAAGTGGTAGGCTACTTGAATAGCTTCAATTGTGAAATTGGCTTAATTACTAGTTAAAACAAAAAAAGTAGAAATATACTGATACCTTCAAAGTTTCACGTTTTAGTTTGCTATATATAAAAACAAAATGAACCCTGTAAATGAGTATTTTATGTAGGCCTATATAGCTAGTTTACAACACGTTACAACACATAATTAACTTAAAATCAATTGGCTTGAAAATAAATCATTTGGTATTGAAGTACGTGGGATATTTAAAAAGGTTGAAGCAGAATGGATGTCCTTGTGAAGTTATAATATGTTAAGTGTCTGTTACATAACAACCGGAAACGCCATTAGACGTCATAAAAATGATTTGCATTATTACCACACGATGGCGCAATTTCTTCACTTTCAATTTCAGTTTTTCGCAGGTAGGCCTACATAAAACACTCACATACACGATTTTTGAATGAATATATGCGTTCTTGTGTTTTTACTTTAGATTATATGCATATATTAAACATTATTTTGTATTGTTTATGTTTTATGCAAATTCAGTTGCGTAATTACATAATTATTTTGTAAAATAGCCTGTTCATAGCCCTATATGCATGTATAAACATTCACACAAATATAAACAACTTACAACATATTGTCCCCATGCATAATGTGATATTACATTTATTTCAAAGGAACATTTTTGTTTGCGCACATGATATGTATGTAGTAGTATATATTGAATATAAAACGAATGTTTTAGGGGAAAAATATCTACAAGTAACTTCTCAAATAAAAAAAAAAAATTTTTTTTTTTTAAATATAGCATTTCTACAAACAGAGAAGCTGGTTAAGTCGTTCATGTCTTGCCATCAATGTAAAACATATTTTTATTTGTACGTTGTTGTTTCTTTAATCTACCCATCTTCTGTGGGTTATGAATAAAACATGGTAAATCTTATGAGTTTTGTAAAAGCCCAAGCAACCTCTCGTCATTGTCTCCACTTTGGGAACCACTGATGTATTGTACTGTAAGTGTATGTTGTACTATATATTTTTTAATATTGTTAAACTTGTTACAACTTCCTGCCCAAAGACTACAGGTGTAACTTGGCTTTATAGCTAACTCTGGCTCAACATCTCATGTTGTACATTGTCCCTGTATAAAAAAAAAAAAAAAAAAAAAAAGAAAAACACAGTAGGGGAGTGCATAGGGAAAGTTGCAACACTTTTTGCATTTCCTTCAGTTTCTCAAGAGAGTTTTTTTATGGAAACTCAAACTGTTAATAAAATAAACCCATATCTAACAGACACCCACTTACAATATGACCAGCTTTTAAACTAATTTTGTGATAGGAGACAGCTACTCTGTCAACCATGATTTAACTTTCTATGGTTAGATACAATTGCTTTACCACTTGATAGCTATACCAATTTGAAGCCAAGATGATACAACTAAATACTGTTTCCTAAAAAAACTGATTAGATGATATTGGAAATTTCTGAACATTAAAAGTTTTATTCGGGAAAAATTGGTCACATGGCTGATTTCTTTTGGACTGAAGGAGGGTCTAACTGAGAACATGTAGTATTAATCCTGAATCAGGGTTTCTGCAGGTTTCACCAAGTTAAATTTAAGACTTAAGACATTTTTAAGACCATTGTGAATGAAATTTTAGACTCATACAGGGCTAAATGCTAGGGATTTTTTTTGAAGATCCCAGTTAAAAAAACTTTCACTTGACAAATCAAAAAATTATTATAACCGAATACATTTTTGAAGGCTATTTTAAAATAAAATGTTAACGTTTATTGAGATGAATTGTTGCAGATCAGATGTGTGTTGGCTAGATTGGGTAGCAATACATGAACAATGAAAAAATAAGACCTGTTAATAAAGATTTAAGACCTCCAACACAATATTTCAGTAATTTAGGACTTTAAGGCCTAAAAATTTGCTTTTGAGATATAAAGGGGTGGTCCAGAGTGTGTATATAGTTTTTATAGTATTTTAAGCACTTCTCTCTTTGTGTCGGGTCCTTTGGACGCCCAAATACAGAAACAGAACAAGCTCTGTGGAAATAGCGTTTTGATGCCATTTTAGCTTTCTCTGCTATAACATTACAGCACCTCTGGCCACACCCCTTAGCTGCGCGGGGTGTATGCGCATGGTGAATGCCCGTAACCTAAAGTGTTTGTGATCTCACTAGCCTGGATGTATTTTTTGTAGTCCCCAAAACTTTGTTTGCTGTTGGCTTTGCTAAGCTAACTCTGTAAAATCCAATGGCTCCCTTTGCATTGAGCATATTACATTTAAAGATGTTAATTATTTTCACACAGCTACATTACACATCGACTAAATTGAAAATATGATATCGTAGATGACCAAATCTTTAAGACATTAAACCTTTTTAATACTCCCCGAATACCCTGTGAATGAAGAAATAAGTCTCGTTGCAACTGCCCCCGATGTTGCAACCGTCCCCACTGTCCTGTATATAAAATTCCCTATAAATAACGACAAGCAAACAATTGTGTGCCCGCAGCAATATATATTTTAATTCAAAGTGAATTTTGACAATACACCATAATTTCTTTAATTTGACACTCACCAATAGTCACCAGGAAAACCCGCTTTTTGTGACAAAGTACATAAGGCTTGGTCACATATAAATCACTGAGAACTAGAGAGAAATACGACCGCAAACTGTAAGAGACATTACATCTAAAAAAAAAAAAGTTTCCCAGTCCTCATATAGTGAATATTGCACAGTGCAGTGGCTACATGGCAAACTAATGTAGCATAGAAATCGAAAGCAAACAGAAAATAAAACAAAAGCCACAAAAAAATCAAATGTACAAATATGAAAACAGTAACAGTTCAGATTTTTAGTAAATCAAGTCTGTTTGCTCTTAACTCTAAATATTATCCGATAACTTGCAGTGAGATTTAACTTGTACTAAAATATAATCTCGCAGAAGAGTTAAAAATAGATCTAAAGCAATCCAACCCAAAACACAAAAGAAATCGGCAAGTGTTACACAGTAGCACATATGACAAATACAAGGACCCTGAATTAACTGTACAAGAAATAAAAGCATGAAATCAAACGGTTTGGTTTTTGGGAGTCATTTCAACTTTTAGCTTCGTCTTCAAATCCCTCAAGTTTCACTCTTGGTAGGTTGGGTTTAGTTAGACCTATGTTGTGAGCTAATGTGATAGAATTCATATAATGTGCCCATGAGTAGCAATTTAGTACTCATCTCTAGTGCTACATGCTAAATACAGCGGGCTCAAACTATGAGGAACCGCGCCGCTTTTTTGGACTGTAATATATCTCATGACGCTGCAAAAACAAAAGGGATCATTTTTCTACTTCACAAAATGTGGTTTACATTCACAGTGTATCATGTAAAGCTTCCCAAATACGAGAAAAAACCGTGTCTTGGGTGTTTATAGTCAGCATAATAGGAATAAGAAGAATAAAAGAACAACAATCCCTGATATCATTTCATTATTGTTTGTTGTCGTCGTTTCTTGGTCATAAAAATAGCATCAAGCATGATTGGATTTAATTTCCACCACTGAGAAAACAATCCTTAAAGGTGATTTACTGCATTGCATGACTAATACGTTGGTTAAGTTGTCGGGTTCTCCACGTCTGATGGTTGTCTACTTTGAAGCAAAAGTTGCTAACAGCACTTCTGACTAGCAAACGCCGCAGCTTTCACGTCATCCGAGAGCATGAAAGAGAGGAAGAGGCTGGCAGGCAGTGTTTGCAAAAGGGATATAAAGGTCTGAAGCACATTTCAAAGGCACTAATCTCGCTTTAAAGAGAAGGGAACGAGCACACTCCTATAACGGCCCACAGAATGAGAACAGGAGCTAATGAACAGTCCGTTTTTAAAACGCACGCATTGTTGGAATTCAATTCATACACCTGATACTTTTTGTGTGCGCACGTATGTACAATAATAATAGTAAAGGGAGAAATTAATAATTATAAACAAAATTATAAGCACTGTAGTTACCGAGATGAGATGATTCATTATACCCAAACCCGAATTTGTAGCTAGTTTCTCCAAAGTATCAAGTGCTAACGGCATTACTGAAATGGTAAAAGAACTGGGTCGTCAAATACAGACTTCATATCGATGCTTAAAACAAACGAGTTAAATCTATCCTGCAAGCTATGCTTTAACAAAATGCAAATATATATACGTACTAAGATAGATATATACCAATATGCATCTAATACGCAAGATTAGCCCAACAGATAAAACACTGATGCAAACGAAACGTAAAAATACAAACCCCACACGCGCACAAAATCAAATAAAAAGCAAAAACTCCATTACTTGCAATACAGTAGTTACAATGACACTTCAAATGAAAAGAAACTAAAACAGAGAGGCATTAAAACGCTTCTGATGCCAGTCAGTACGATAAAACCCAAAGCAAACAAACGAAAAACAAAAATCATCTCACTTCTAATTCAAGAATAATTAGACGTATATAAAAATAAGAAGGCTAAGAACAAAGTTAATCATCTAATTTCACAGCTATAATGAAGTGGCAATCAGTATATAGCAGCTTATCTATGATACATTCAAGAATAAATGAAACAAAGTCAGAACTTGCCCGAAAAAAGCTAAACATCAACCTCAACATTTTTTATACATATAATTTGTGTTTATTTAAATCTGTTAAATACAACTACGTTTCGAGGTCTACGCTAAAACAGTAGCTACTCTGCTTAAGAAATGAATTACTGTCTTTGGTGTAGCGAAAGCATAATAAATGAACGCACCAAATGAAAAACAAAACTTTAAATCTAAAATAAGCACACACAGAAAAAAAATAAAATAAAACAAAGCTATTTCTCCCTGACGGAATGTTTGAAATTAAAACAGCCAGCGTCCAATAACAAGCAAAATTAAATGAAAGAGAATACAAAACAATCCAAATCTGGTCACATGCATCTATGAGGAAAATTGCACACCATCAACCATCTCGTCTTATAAAGCACTGAATACTCCAGCAATGATAGACTTTACAGTTGGATACTCAATACTGAAATAATTCTGCACAAAGCAAACATGAAACCATACAATATCATAAAAGAGCTATCTGCTGATACAAATCCAACACCGATAACACTTCTAACTCTAAAATTAACGTAGAATCGATGGAAAGAAAATGAAAACACACACACACACACACACACACACACACACACACACACACACACACACACACACACACCCCGAAAACTATGGATTGTATTGCAGTTTCATTAAACAGTGTAAATACTATTAGAGTAGAAACAGATTATCAATGATGAAAGTACGCAAACGTTTCTGTACATAGTTTATCAGCCTCTGCTACGGCACGTTATCCTCAGGGAGAAAATGAAAAAAAAAAAAAATCTAACGTTGCTACCGCTCGACGCAATACGTCCACCTTGTAAATACCACACGTACAAAAAGAGGACTGCTTTCCAATAATGCGCAATTCATCTAAGGCATTAAACAAAACATTTTTCGCCTGTACAATTCATGCACTCGGGGTGATTTCATTGTCGACACCCAAAACGAAAAACACCCGTCGCGACCCTAAAGAGATGACTTAAATAAAAATCGCAAACGACACCGAGATTATGTAAAGCATGAGAAAGAAAGATGAAAAGATCAATGAAACAGCCCTAATATTTAAAAAAAAAAAAGAAAAAAAAATCACAACGAATGATTGAAAAAGTTTCAAGTGCTGCAGTCTGATACACGCGTGACTGCACATGGGATTCTGGGTTAATTTGCAACAACACGTATTTTTAAGGCACTGTTTATTGAATCCGAATGGACTCAATGCAGCAAGTCTTACAACAAATACACAGAGGAGCGAAAAGCGATGATTTGCAGGCCTTCCCCTCCCAAATTTTTTTTGGAGAGTCCAACATTGGTTTTTAGCCCATGCAAAAAGACATGCAGCGTGACAACCTTTTCAACACCGGGACTTAACACTGAGGAGCGTGGGACGTCTACGGAAAAAAATACGTACAAGGAAACTCACACACACACACACACTGGAGACAGCGATGGCTTTGACGAGTCACTGTGTCTAATACGCACGTCAGAAGGCAATATCGAAAAATAGCATATGGGAGGGGTCCTGCTGCGACTATGGGAAATTTTGTTGTATCAAATGTGCAAAAAACACATTAAAAGTGAGTTTTGTGTTCAATCCACTCAGTCATTCGCTCACTCACGCATTCGTTGGTTTAATTAATTCTCCATGATCTCTGAATAAAGCTCGATTTGCATCATGAAACATCATAAGAAAAGGAAAGAGGAGGAAAGTGGTCGTGGCTCAGTGCCGGCTGCGTGCGCGTGGCTGTCGTGGGCTCCAGCTCAGATGTACGGGTACTGACTGAGTTTGCTGGGGCTGAGGGGGAAGCCGGCGTAGGCGGGCGACGCCACATAGGAGTGCGGGGGAAAGAGGGCTTTGAATTGGCCCTGCGGGAGAAGGGTGGGAGAGGGCAGAAGCCTGTGGTTGATGCCCATGCTGATGCCCTGGTGGTGCACCAGGCTGTAGGCGGGCTGTAAGACGGGCCGAGGCGCCGGCGGTGGGCATGGTGAAGGCAAGAGGTGGGCCACGGGCGCGGAAGGCGGATAGGAGAGCAGGGCGGGAGGCGGCGGGTGGCCGGCTGAGTGTGTGGGACTGCCGTGGGGAAGCGGAAAGGTAGGGCCGTGGACAGTGGGCGGGATGAAGGCCTGCGGTCTGCGCGGCTGCCGGTAGTTGCCGTTCCACTCCTTGTGGCAGGAGCCGTAATGCTGGACCTGAGCGAGACGAGATAAAACAAAGTTAGTTTCATTTCAAAAATCACATCTAAATTTGCAGTTTTAAAAGTAAATAAATAAATTGGTTTACATAAGAAATCTATGTGCACAAAAATAATGACTTTTGCTGCATGTTAAAACTACTCGTATAAACAATAAGAGGAAACGACACAATTCTTGAGTTATTCTTAAGAAAACTTTATTATTTTATGTTCAATCCACAAGTTAAACTAATTCCTTTATGGTGTCGCAACACAAATTGATTGTGTAGAAGCCAGCATTTTTACAGTACATACATTAAAGTTTTTACCTGCCACAATTTTTGTTTTTAAATCTAAATAGCCAATAGTCTTTAGTTTACATAGTATTGGTAATAAGATACACATTTTAGTCATAAGATTTGCAAATTTGCTAGTAGAATTACTAATAGGCATTCACAGTCTGAAGCAATAACTAAAAGAAACAAAAAAATATGAATTATGATAAGTCATCTATATTTCTGATCTGTTTTCATTAGACATGTTTTGAGCAAAACTGGATTGTCACATAATAGACATGCGAATAAAGCAGCTTTTCCATCCATGAGTCAAAGAGAACAAAATAGTCACTTCCTGATTAACTGGTGCAAAATATTAACTGTAAAAACAGAATTTGCTGCAGTGGAAGAAGCTGCGTGAATCTTTTCCTTATTTAATAATTTACTTGCGTCTCAGAAGACAATGCCGACAAGTAATGAATGTGTATCGTTTAAAGGTATGAGACACAGAGCACAGACGTTCTTGACAGTTCTGGAGGTAAATAGTAATATAATAACACTAATACTAAAATGGTTACAGCGTTTTAGAACCAAAACAACATTTCAGATGTTTTACAGTTTGCTCAGGCTGCTGGTTTGTCCATTCACACAGTTTTATCGTCACATGATCTGTTATAACAAAATCACATGACCTATTTTTAAAGCACATACTGGAATTTGTTCAATATAAGTGATTCTATCGTAATTTATACGCATCTTCAAAACTTAAGCTCATCGTAGCGTTTCCATCAACCAATTTTTTATGCGCATGTCCAAAAATAGCTGTATGAAAACATAGCTAGTGAATGCTTCAAAAACTTTTCTGTTAAAACCCGATTGCTGTTACTTTTGTCTCAGTTTAACAGGTAATATATAAAGACAAAGCATTCATACTAATTTCGTACACACACACACACACACACACACACACACACACACACACACACACACACACACACACACACACACACACACACACACACACACACACACATATATATATTATCTCAAATGTATTGGGGGCAATGATTTAAATGCTGGATGAGCCATCAGTATTTTTTTCTATGTTTTTTGGATGCCACCCCCAAATACAAACTTCCCATGGCCCTTAACTAAAACCATAAGCATCTTTAAAAGCAAAACATTTTTAAACGATGTACTGTTCAGCATCTAAAACATTATGAAACAAATAATCAGTTATAAACTTGCTTGTAGCAGGCAAAATATTTTTAGTACAAACTACAAAGCATTTCAATTTAAACCGTATTACAGAGAGAAGCCAGAGAGATTTAAAACAGACCAACCTGGCCAAAGCCTAGCGGCTGTGGCTGGAATGAAGAGCTCAGTTTCTGCTGGCGGGGTAGCGTGGGGGTGGAAAGGTGGCTCAGTCGTCCTGGGCCGCAGCGACTTCTGGACTGGCAAGAGGATTCGAAGACTGCAAAAAAAAAAGGAGAAATCAAACAAAATATAAGTTTCCTTATATAAGTTCACATTACAAAAGTGACAAGAGGAGGAAAAAAACATCTGCAGCTTCTACAAACTGAATCAGCTGCCAGTATTTACTGACGTTCTGATCAACAGAAATATAAAAGAAAACGAAGGACCTGAAACTTAGATAGCAATGTATCTAAAACATAAACTCTCCTCAAACCTTCCATGGACATCCCAAAACAAAACACATTGCCAGGGGGACGTGCCATGAGAAGCCTCTGAAAGAGTTTACCGCTCCAGCAATATTTCTTTCATAGCATGCCTCCAAAACAAAGCACTGGCTCCACATAGGAAGCGGGACAGATATGTTTTGGTACGAAAGGGGGTGGAGGGAGTCTATTATATAAAATATATAAATATTTTCCAACAAAAATAAAAACAAATTTAGGGCAGTCAACACGCAGAGTATAAAAAAACGAAGACGGGAATGAAGAGATCAGAGGTATGGGAGAGGAAGCTCAAACCAAAAGGGTTTCACTCAACACTGGGATGTCGCGCACAAGACACAGGGTCGCAGTGCACGTTATACCCATAATCACCTGCGATAGCCTCTGTGACAACTTCCTGTTTCTCTCCTATGACCTGTAAAGTAGACATTAGCTGTGACCACACTAAAAATATTGGTTTGTATTGAAACCAATAAACTTGAACTTAAACCGTGGTCCTTGCTGATTTATAAAATGTAAGACAATAGCTACCACCACAATCTCCCCCTATTTCCAGACTATCGTAAACAAATCCAGGATGGTTTGCAGATCCCATTGATTAAAGATAAAGCTGTAAAAATCAAATTTTTCATGCATATCTTGACCGATTAATTACACAAGACCTGTCAGCTATTTATTTTATTTTGTCTGGATGTATTTTGTTTTAGCCATTGACTGGTATTTTTAATGTATCACCAATGATGACAGTTTCAGCAAAAAAAATCATACTCAAAGATACATTTTGCGAGAAGGTATTAGTCTTGTTCATCATAGAAGTCAACCTCATCATCCATTCATTTTTAATGTAAATGAAACCTTTTTTTGCGTTTCTTTACTCAAACACAACATAAATCTTTATGAATCTGAAGGAACTAATGTGGACCCTATTGTTTCTCCCCTGTGTACCTAACATGCAAAATTAAGTAAGCGTTTCTCAAATTTGTAATAAAAACTGGTGCTACGATGGGATGTTTTAGAACCCTTTAAGGTTCTGTCAAAAAAAGTTACATTCATCTTGAGGCTGATTTATGCTTTCACCCGCACCGCGGACCTCCGCTAAGTGTGCACACACCTCGCAAATTGGACAAGGTTTTTAAACTCGACGCGTTTGTTGTTGAGATATCTTCTAAAAACGACATATGGCAATCACTAGAAATATACCGTAAAAGCAGATGGATAAACAGAGAAGTAGAAAGTTTCTGCAACTAAATTATATTAATATCATTCATTATTTTTTAATAACCATTTAAGATTTTTTTTTTAAATCAAACTTTGATGCATCACTAGCTTTTGTTCATATCTTAGACAGATTTACCTATTAAAGTTTATAAAAATATTAATGACAACAGAACATGGGTTGCTCTACAAATAGATATTTTTTATTATGGGAAGAATAAACGCAAAAAAAGTCCGCTTACATAAAAAATTACTTTTTTTTTTTTTTTTCACCCACTCAAAAATTCACACATTACTTTCTGGCTAGTTTGTGTCCTCTACTTATGTTGAAAAGGCAATATTGGGCCAACTTTCCTTACCATTATCACCAATAAAGCCTAGAAAAACAGGGCATCAGTATATTGTGAACAAATAGGATTAAATATTCTTTGGTTTTGTAGCCATTTAATGATTTTAAATACAAAATTGTAATATCTACGTCAGTGTAAAACCTATGAATGGTGGAAAAACATTTTCTGTATTATTGTGCGCTATGTACAATATGTATAGTACATATATTTTATTAATAAATTATTAATAAACTACCTGGTTCTCCAATTTTTCCATGGCCTCTCTTTTTGGCTTTGAACTTATCTCTCAACTTTTTTACAAAAACAATCGTAAAGATGTCTGTATAGGCATACCAAAATCTATTCAAAGTGAGATTCAGCACAACTCAACGCAGCATGAAGCGAGCTAGCAGATGCGTCTAGTATAAATCAGCCTTAAGAGTACCACGTGGAGTCCATACCTGTGCTGATTGCAAGGTGCTCATTGTTGGGATGATGGTTATTATTCAGCACTCTCATGGGCGGCACCACCACTGTTCTCACTGCAGGCTTATTCAGCCCTGTGTTGTTGGGATGTCCACGTCTGGCCCGTGGCTCCTGGTTCTGGTTTTGATTGCGCAGGAAGCGTCTTTCGGGGAAGGGACTTTCATGGGGTCCTAGTGAGGAGTCTGAGGGGGGTGACCCATCTACTGTTTCACAACCACTTTCATGGCCGTCATCTTCCGATATACTACAGTGAGATTGAGAAGAAATTAAGTACACACAAATGGATCTTATCCTTTCAATTGTGCTAATGTTGAATATAAAAAAAGATCTGTACCTGCTGGGTCTTTTGCATGGTGAAGGGCTGGATTGTGCTGAGGCTGAAGAGCTGGTGCTCAGACTGCTATCAGGACTGCTGAGGGAACACACACGTTCCATGTTTAGAGAGCCTGTGCAGGCCTCGCACTCTGGACTGCCTTTACATCTGTCAAAAAGAACACAAAGCATACATACATGAGTTATATGAATGCTGCTAAACAGAATTTAGGTCTAAGTTTAACAATATTTTCAGGTATCATTTACAATTCTCTGAAATCTACTCAAGTTAGTCGAGATGTTTTGCACAGAAACAACAAGACCATGTGACATCTGTGACGCAAAAAAACATGGGTGGAATCTAAGAAATGAATGGAATCTGAAAAATAAGTCAATTTGAAACAGTTCCTAACCAATAGATTTGTTAACATGTCAAACTGATGTCACAAAGAACTGGTCTTGTAGTAAATAAAGCAATAGTAATAACAACAAATCAAACAAAAATAAGTATTTTAAAAGATATTAAATTAAAGAAATAACACTGAAGAAAATAATCTGCAGAAAAGCATTTTTAAAATACAGCTGTGAAACTTATGGTAGTGTTTGGGATTTTTAGATATGTTATTAATTAAATATGACTTTAAATGATTGAAAATGCTTTCTAATTATGTTTTATTGATATTTTTTTATTAATGCAGAATTCATTAAACAAAAGTCATAACCTAGTTTTACACAGCTCCTTCTATCTAACTGACCCTCTGAATTAATACTGGTGCATTTTGTACTACACGTTTAATAGTTAAATATATATTAGACATCTGTTATGATTCGATGATATTAGCATACAAAAAGTCCAATTGCACCTGCTGGGCTTCTAAATACTCAAATAACATAACAACAAAATGGCGACGGTTGGTCATGCCTACTTGTTGCTTCATTTGTGCTCTTCAGAAACCTATGGGTGACGTCACGGATACCAAGTCTATTACTTTTACAGTCTATGATCCAACCATGAGTGACATTTACAGTTGTGCATTTGCTTTAAATGCTAATGTTGTATTGTGCATGCTTGTATTAAAGTACAAAATTGTATTACAAATAATATATTTATAAACAATACATTTTAATACAAGAATAATTGTTTTGCTAAATAAAATATCAAATTGTGTATGGAAAGCATAGTCAATGCACGGCGACGCACGGCGATATCATATAAACTGAAACGGTGGCATGATTATTGAAACCAGTGTAGGTTCACACCCCATGAATAAATGACATCATAAAAAAGATATTAAAGCAGAGAATTACTTGATTCCACAATAGAACTTAATAATCTACAATATTCTTAAATTAAATAATTACAATCCCGGTGCACATAAGAAACTATTACCACAAACTGAATTCTACGGATAACAATCTGAAGCCCAACTCACTTGTTAAGGGAGCACCTCTGCGCTTGCTCCTCCTCCTCATCTGTGCCGCTGCTAATGCTAATGACACTAACCGCCGGGCTGGGCGACTCTCTGATAATGATGGACTCTCGCTGCTTATTGGGCACTGTTGTCTTACAGCAGCTCTCCTCCTCCTCTGTCTGCTTTGGCTCCTGCTTCACTTGGGCCTGCACTGCTCTTTCTGGAGAGCTAGTTTGCGGCTCCACACTCGGCAACATTTCCGGCATCTTTGGTGATGGACACACTGAGGGCTGCGTGTCCGTGAAATGCGACACATTCATACTTCTGAAAAAAGTGACAAGAATGAAGTCAGCTACACTCTGCTTTCCTGCTCACCTTTTTTCATTTCTTGTGTTCAACTATGATGACTTTGGGGAAGAAGATGTTATAGTTGGGTAAACTTTAAAAGGATAGTTCATCCAAAAATGAAAATTGTCATTTACACACCCTTTACTTTTTACACACCAGTTTGACTCACTTTCTTCTGTTAAACACAAAAGATATTCTAAGGAAAGCTGGAAACTTATAACCACTGATTTCCATAGTATTTGTGTTCCTATTATAAGTCAACTGTTAACGGGTTTATTTTAAAATATCATCTTTAGTATTTAAGTGCACTTGTGAATGAGTAAATGAAACGTTTTGGGTGAACTATCTCTTTAAAATGGAGTAAACAGAATTATATTTATGCTTGCGTATTTCTATCTCTAATTTAAAAAAAAATAATTCATAATATAGTAGTGTTTGTATAATACTTTTAGAAGTAATTTATTTTAAATGGTTTGATGACTGCTTTATTAATTTATAATCATTTCTGGGGTTCAACTAAGATGACTTCTAGGAAGCTGTTATAGCTGGGTAAACTTTAAAATGATAGTTCACCCAAAAATGTAAACTCTGTTGTCATTTACTCATGTACACACCAGTTTCTTTCCTCTGTTAAATACAAAAGATATTCCGAGGAAAGCTGGAAACCTGTAACCACTGACTTCCATAGTATTTGTGTTCCTATTATGTAAGCCAACAGTCAAATCTTTAGTTTTTAAATGCACTTGTGGGTGAGTAAATAAAACAATTCGGATGAACTATTCCTTTAAAATGGGGTAACAAAATTATATTTCCGCTCACATATTTCTATCTCTAATAATAAATTTGCCTCTCATATGGAGAGTGAAGTCACATGAGTTGCTCAGTGGGGATTTTTCACAGCCTTCAACAGTGTAAAAATATTGATGTTTTGTGGGTCTCGTCTATCAAATCTGATCTTTAATTTGTATTTTCTATTGGACTCAAGTCAGGTGATTGGCTGGGCCATTATACAGCTTGATTTTCTTTCTCTGAAAGCATCTAAGAGTTATTGGCTGTGTTTTGGATCATTGTCTTGCTGAAATGTCCACCCTGGTTTCATCTTCATCATCCTGGTAATGAAGATGTTGGACTGAAGCAGCTAATACGTGATATTAATTTACACTGATGAATGACAGAGGGTAGCTGGATAAACTACTGAGAGATTTCAGCTGCTGTCTGCCTTCTTACACCTCCCTTTCTTCATGTGTTCAACACTTTTATCCTGCTTCATTTCATTTTATTACACACAGCTTCATTTCTAAGCTAATTAAATTTGTTTTTAATTGATACATGTATTTCTTTGGTTGTTATCAACATCTGGTGAAAATTTTATGTCAACGGCACTTTTAAATAAATGTTTACTGAGAAACATGGTGACGTGTTGAATACTTATATCCCCCACTGTATATGCGACTGCAAAAATAAATAGACAATTTTTAATATGTAAATGAGTATGCATGTTTTGTTTTCTTGACTTTAACCTCATTACAAAAGCCACATTGAAAGTTTCTGCGTGTTTTAGATAATAAAACAGCTTATGTTTCAGAAAACACTGTAGTTGCCTAACTGGAGTATTATGACATTCAAATGAAGGCACCCGGTTGAGTTCCTGCACCCTTGCCAATGTCTGTAGGCTGTTGCTCACCTGTTCTGGCTTGGTTTGTTCCTCTTGTTAGATGCAGGTTGAGGCCAGACAACATGAGCGATGCCAATGTTTATAGGCTGATGGGCTGACACAGCCATTTGGTTAGGAACAATAGGCTGGGGCATCACTGAACTGTAATGGCTGCTGTGTGGTCGCACTTTCCTTTAACAGAGGGAAAGAATGATGATTAACAGGTCACTTAAAAGCTCAAATTAAAGATGCACTAATCGACCGACTAGAAATCTAAACTGCCTGATTTTTGCTCTAAAACACATTTACATTTTCTGTTTTGTTTTAATTTGGTCGATGATTTATTCTGGACTTATAAAAACAGCAATGATTTTATAGTACAAAGTGTCAACAGACACCAGAGACGAAGCACAGATGTTCAGACATAACATTCTGGCAGCACAGCAAAAAAAAAAAAAAAAGCACAAGGTACTCTGCATTCAGCTCATTAAATTAAATAAATACAGACCTTTATGCATTTCGACATTACATAAGACTGTACGGATAAGACTTTAGCGCTTGACCATTTGTCTTGATGGCTTAAGAGTTTGAGTGTTTCAAAACTAGGAGAATGTGTTAACTTTAACTTAACGTACTATACATGGGCTTCATTTAATATATTTCTAATTCTGTTGATTTGATCTGTATCATGGTAGTGTTTTAAATATGTATGTAAAATACAGGAATTTTACAATGAGAGGTTTTATTAAAGCATTATAAGAAAAACCCATTGTCTTCAGAAAAAAATTTTTTTTTGATGATCTCCTTATAATACACATTACATACCAGCACATCTGCTTTGTTTCCAGCACTAAGCAAGGAAATGCAGTTGTTCCTGTTGTTCTGTAAACACCACCAACAGGCAAAGTAAATGCATTTTTATTAAGCTTGTCTACTGTTTTTGTTTAGTACAGGTATTATTATACGTAGCACAATTTCACAAATGGCAAATCATTCTTTTTCGTTCTTATTTTGAAATGATAAAATCAAATTAAAATGTTCTTTTAATAAAAAAAATACTTCGGTATCGAAATCTGTCCCTGAGAAATGAATTTCGATGCATCACTGCTCAATAGTTTGCGTCAGCACATGATATTTGAGTCTTCATTTCGATCTTCTTACCCCCAGTCTCCTCGCCTCTGCGCTCCGACGACTGTATCAGATGCCAAGCTCGTAGCAGGTGGCGGGACCTGCTGCCAAGCTGGCACCAAGATCTGTGGAGTTCTGTTGGACCACGGCTGCTGAAAGGTCAAAAAAGGACAATGGTGAAGCTTTGTAATGGATCTGGCTTCAGGTTTAATATCAAAACTGGTATGTCAAGACGGAGAACAAGAACCTGGCTGTTTAACACAAAATGTCTTGTGAAATTTGCCCTCACTTGTGCTATAACTCCAGGCCTCATGGGTAAGGGCTGGATAGCTGGGGCTTGGGTCACCAGAGGAATGGTGTTCTCCATTCGAACCGAATACCCGGCTGGCTGATTTGGGTTAGAAGGGATTCCTGTAGAGTCAAACAGACAGAAATTAGGAATAACTCAGTGGTTATTCTCAGTCAAATTTAGACGTGAACGATTAACGGAAGAAATTTACAATATAACATGCTGGCAAACACAACATGAACCAACTTTCCAAAATAAATAAGCAGAATTTTTAAACCAACACAACATTGTTCTTACAGTTCTAAACAAATCAAAAGCTTGGCTGTTTAAACAACAGAAATAGATGACACAAATCCATAAAATACATGTTACAATAACATTAACAAATAATAAAATATAAAATGATCAACAATTTTACAATAAATTAGTATTAGTACAAATAAAACTAAAGCAAATGTAAAAAATAAAAAGTAAAAACTTAATCGCAAATGATTGCATCCAAAGTTTGTTTTGACAATTGTATGTGTTTGCTGTGATATGTAGTTATTATGTAAATATAAATAATATATTTATATTTATGATATGTAGTTATTATGTAAATATAAATGCACTCACACACACATACACACACACACACACACACCCACACACACACACCCACATATATATATATATTTGAGAAAAATTTATTTATAGTTAAATATAAATATGTGCATATAATTCAAATTATATACAAGTTAATATATATATAGTTTTGTTTCTATGTATGCATGAATCACATATACATAAATACAGAACAGAATGCCTTTTATTGTCACTGTACACATATACCATATACATTATATACATGTGTGTATAAATAAGTTAAGTAACTAAATAAGTTGCAGTAAAAATAACTGGTGACTATATATAATAGTGCAAAACAGGGGAGGAGGGGGGGTAGGGTGAGGTGGAGTAAACAGTTCTGAGTAGGGCTGCACGACATTGGAAAATTCTAGCATTGCGATATTGTTTTTTATTTTATGATATGAATACAATTTCACCAGACAACTTAAAATCTCTATTTGGAAAGAATTTATACTGTAAAATCGATTAGGATGATTCTGCAGTAGGAGTGCATCTTCATAAAATCTAATAAGCAATCTATAAACTTTTTGGGGTCCCCCTACACATTTTCGATGTGGTCTGTGCTATTTGCAGTGCATTTCTGTATTCGCATTTGTGGTGAGTATTTTCATGCATAACTATTTATAAATACAATTAAGGAAACGATACAATTGAAATAAAGTGTTTATTATTTCTCGAGTCTAACAGTATTCAAGTACAGTAACTGAATGATCAAAATAAAAATGTAATAAAATCATTCTCTGTTAAAGTTACAAATGGTACAATTTCTTATGACTGAATGCTTTTAAGGTCATTATACAAATCACAGGCATTAAACACAGCCCTAGTTCCTAAGCAGCCCTAGTTCTTAAGTTGAACGAGATACAATTTTATATGTAAATGTTTTTTTTATTAGTAAATATCAGTAACACTTTACTGTATTTTACTAGCACTACTAAAACAACAAAAAGTGCTACTACAGATAATAGTTACTTTATTTTTACTACTAATAGTTACAATTATTTTAATATTGTTATCATAAATTTTCTGTATAATAGTTACAACTGCTGTTATATTCACACACACACATTAATAGGACTATAAAAAAACAATAAAAAACACACTATATATATATATATATATATATATATATATATATATATATATATATATATATATATATATATATATATATACCATAAATTATTATCAGCCCTAAAACAAGCACAGCAAGCTATAGTTTTGTTTTTGTAATAGCAAATAAATATTTTCCCCTCAAATTAACTTGAGTTGTTAAGTTGAAATGATTATTCTTCTATCATTGCGCTTCAAAATACCTTGCATTGCAGGAGGGCACAGAATGAGCGCCTGCTGAAAAGATTCGTTACACCCAAACTGGGCGCTTCCGGTCTGGATGGGAATCCCAGGATGCACCACAGGTGGAGCAGACGGCGGCAGGGTCTAAAAGCAGAGGCAAACAAATTAGTCTCAGGAATAATCTGTCATCATTTTGCGTGCACTTAAACCCAGAGCTTCTCCAGTTTTACCTGAGAGTGGACAGATGGCATTTTGTTGAAGGCGACAGTGATATTTGGAGCACTTGGAAGCGTCACGGGCTTCATGAGTGGCGGTGCTTTGTTGCGGTTGAGAGTATCAAAGATGCTGGTTCTTAAATGACATACGTCCATGATGTGGAAACAAGACTGGACACTGTTAGAGAGACCAAACCAATTCTTTGAGATTGTTCAACACGTAAGACACTTTGAAAAAGTCACTATAAATGTTTGGACATACTGGTTGCAATGGGGGAAATCCATCAGGTGCTGCATAGTGACAAAAGGATGAGTAAGTGCATCCGAAGGGGCAATTCTCTGATCGGCATCAATCATCAGCATCATCTTCAGCAGGTCCACGAATTCTCTCCTGTCAGCTTTCTCTGCCAACTGGTCACAGCCCTCCATGTTGAGCATTAGATTCACCTGGAAGATGAAAGAATACAAAAAACCTAAACTTAACAAAATAAATCTACATATACAAATATATATAAAAAAAAGAGCTATTATTATTATTACAAAATTTCATAATATCAATAGTTATTTTAATTCTAATAGAATAATTTCAGTGTGATATTGGTAAATAATAATTACAGAAATACTGTTATTAACAATTTATAATTTTTATAATGAATGAAAAAAAATTATGAATATAATTGTAAACAAATATTACTAATTACATTACAATTTAATTAACAATATCTGAATATTCATAAATATATTTACGTGATATAGCTATTAGCAACATCAGTTTAAAACTTCAATACAATATAACTGTACAATAATGTACAATATAACTTTACAATCATATACATTTTTAGCAGTTAAAATACTATTTTTGCATTGAACAGCAATTGTATCATTATTGTTATTTTTTTATATAAATAATGTGAATTATGAATATTCATGTAAACATCACAATTAATAATTACATTATTTAATGTAGGGTTGTCGCAATCCCATTCATTAATCTTATGATACTATACCGATATTTTTCCAACCAAATTCCCTCCAGACTGAGGAGGTTGTTGATTTTTTTACTGTGTTTAAAAATACTTTTTCAACTTTTCTTCAATAATTTCAATATTACCCTCTTGTTTATTTTTTTTATATATAATATGTGTTACATATTGTAACCATATTTTAAGCAAAACCTCTATAACTTCATAGTGACACAGGTTTACTGAGGTCTTACATGTCCAATGTCATCAAGGCAGCTGAAAATGTACTTCCTCGCCTCCTTGGACTTTAGCCCCGTTTCTGCCTCGTGCTCTTCCGTCGTCTGCAGAAACAGGAAGCACGTTTTAAGTCATTACATAAGAAGTTCACATCAAAACTTCATGCGGCGCACACAGTAACTCAAATCAGACACTTCTGCTGTAAATTAATGGCAACAGCGTCTGGTCTGAATGAGAAATTAACCACTTGCCTTCAGTCTCCAGGCAGTGTACGGTGAATCGGACTCCTTGCAGAAGAACCGTGCCGTCTTCGTCCCCACGTTCAGAAGCTGCTCTCCTGGCAACCCTTGAGTTTGAGAAATGTAGCGGATCTGCAGAGATTAAATCACCACATTAAAATAAGTTGGGCTGAATCCATCTGAACATATTTCTTTACAAATCTCCTCTAGAAAGATGGTACTTTTCCACCATTCCAGGAGGAAGTATTGCAAGATAAGACAGGTCTAGAACAAGCAGGTATGCAACGTTGTGCCAAAATACCAATGAACAAATCAAAACGCCATTTTGCCTAAACCACAATCTTTATATCATAACCCTAGTGCTTGCGAAAGAGAAATATGTCTTGAACATATTGATGAGGAATGACAGCAGTGATTAAGCATGTTCAGCATGGTCCAAAAGACCATTATACAAAAACAATCAATCTAAAGATCGATTTGTCAATAAATCATTAACCTTAATAATACTAAATGTGCCTTAAGGCAACCATTAACTTCCATAGCAGGAAAAACAAATAATATGGGAGTGAATGGTTACATGTTTAGCATTTTTTAAATTAAAGCCAACTAAATAATTGAAATAAAAAAATGTAATAGAAAATGAAAATTTAGATTTTTGGATGAACTACCCCTGTAATGATTAAATGCAATGACTAATATACAGGGCTTGACATTAACACCCGATAACTAGGGCTGTGCAATTAATCGCAATCGAAAAAAATAAAAAAAATAAAAAAATCACGACTTAAGCACATGCAAATTCTAAATTGGAAAAGACTGCAATTTTTATCTATTAATTTATTTCAAATTTTATTCAGAATATGTTCATGTGCGCATGATTTTAATATGTTAACCAATCAGAGCTGACACAGCGCACCGGGCAATTACAGCTAAGCTGCACGCTTGTTTTGCCAACACAATGTGGCGTCTCTGCTGTCTTACATTAATGAATATTAATGAAGTTGCAAAATAGAGCACGTTGATTGGTTTGAACCAAGCCTTACTCATGCATTATTGCAGCACACTCGGAGACGTATTACGGTACTCCCAGGTACCGGTGTCCAGTCTATATGCTGGAATACAGGCTAAGATGTCAGGGCCGTGACGCAGCTTCAAAAAATTGTTTTTAATCCGGAAGTACGAATTTGCTCGAAATAACGCAAAAACAACCAATTTTCACTTTTTAGTTAAATATGTGTCCTAATAGTGTTTTTAGCAGAGTGGAACACATATACAACTGTCAACGGCTCAAAAAATGTGTTTTGGTGTTTTGTGACCCTTTATCATTTTTTACAACAAGATTGCTTTAATAGGAGATTAACCTATTTAATTAACTGGTGATCTGAGACCTTAAGCCAGGATATAGACTATATGCATAGTTTTAGATATATGAAAATAATTATTTTTAAACCTTTTACTATTATATACTTTTTTAAAAGAAAAGTTTTGTTGAATAACTATAGTACACAGCTATATTTTGCTTGTTTTGACACATTATTTAAAAATTATGTTTAAGGTATAATTATTTATTTATATTTGGTGTGGTCAGAGAAATTTGGTAAATCCTTAATTTTGAGCCCTGAAAAGGGATGTGAAATAAAAACTAGTTGCAGTGCGACACTATAAAACCACAACTCATTTGCTCATGCACATTGAGCAAGGTCATACACAAGACACAAAAAAGTTAAATGCAGGTGGACATAACACAAAATCTAAATTCAAAGCATGTCAAAGTCAAACCTATGCCTATAAAACAGATTTTCCCAACAAGAAAATTGTGGCTGGTGAAAATGGCAGGTGGCTAGTAATGTTGAAAATCTACTAGCCAAAATCCTGCAAAAAGTCAACGTCAAGCCGTTAATATATTACTAGCGCAGTCTCAGATGTAAACACTGGGAACTGGTGCATGTTAACATAATACAATACACATTGTTACTGCAAATGATTTTTTTTTTTTTACTAAAATGTGCTTAAGATCTTGTGTATATTAACAAAATGTTTAAAATCCTCAACTGATTTTTTTTTACACATGATTTAGGAAAATGCTCTAATGCACAACAAAAAAGAAAGAAAAAAAAGCATTGTTATTTGGTTATTTAAAATTAAAGAGTTGAGGCAAATCTTGGAAAGCTCAGTGTTAAACTGTTAATACGGAGAACAGTATGGGGTCTGTCGCTCCTTACGGCTTTGTTAAGATGCCACATCAAGATGTTGGGCATTCTTTATGCCCACAACAGATGACACACCAATCAGGCTTAATGCAAGCCAGCGCAGAGCCAAGCATGCTCTTAATCATTCGGTTGACGCACTAAATCCAAACAGTACACTGTATTACATGGACAGTTCATACAGCGACTTAAGGGCATAATTGACCTTAGTTAGTAGAAATCATGTTTAATTGGATAAAAATGACCAAAAATGTCAATTATGAACAATATTTTAGGGCAAATGCCACTGGAAGTGAAAAAAAGTTATATGTTAAGTCATGCTTAGTATAATGTCTCAAATTAGAATTTTAAATAGCGTGTTAATTAATTAATTAAATTTAATTCTATTAAATTATTTTTTCCCCATTGGCTATTAGAAGTTAGTTACCTTCTTAAAACTGATTAAAATGGAAAGCTACTTTAAATGTAACAATATTTTACAATATTACAACAATTAAATGCAGCCTTGGTGAGAACAAAGATCTTATCTTTTATTAATTTTTTATTTTTTTTACTGTAATAGTACCAAATTTTTCAAAAGAACTCCATCTTGTTTATTTCTGGCTACTTGATTTATTGTGACTTACACAATGTTTAGAGTTTAAAATAGGGCAAAAACTGCATGTAAAAATCAATTCTGGTGACAAATACTGACCTCAGCATTGATCCTTTTTGTGAACAAAACACTTCCAGACGTGACCAATGACCTCAAGACAGCTTTGTTTTTCATTTGAACAGATTTAAATAAGCAGTACATCCAGTCCAAAGTTCATAGTAACAATCCCTTACATGATTTTTAAAAGATGATTTCATAATAAATACACTACCGGTCAAAAGTTTAGGGTCAGTAGGGTTTTTAAATGTTTTAAAATAAGCTTCTCCTGCTCACCAAAGCTGCATTTAGTTAATCAATAATACAGTACAAATTGTAAAAAAAAAAAAAAAGATATTGCATTAAAAAATAACTGTTCAAAAGTAGATTAATTTATTAATTTATTCCAGTGATTTTAAAGATGAATTTTCAGCTTCATTACTCCAGTCCTTAAAGTCCATCAGAAATCACTCTAATATTAATTATTATTATTAAAGGTAATAGTAATAAAAGCAATAATGACCAGTGTTGCCAACTTAGCAACTTTGTCGCTATATTTAGCGACTTTTCAGACTCCCCTAGCGACAAATTTTAAAATAAGCGACTAGTGACAAATCTAGCTACATTTTTGGGTGTTACTGGAGATTTTTATAGACTCTAATGTGTCTGTGCTGTACTGTTTCTACTCTTCTCTATGAGCTGCGGGTGATGCTGTCAGTCCCTCCCCAGCCTCAGAGCACTTACAGTAGACCCAGTCCTCATACAGCAGTCTCTCATACCTGCAGCCAGAGAGCAGATCAGCCTTCTGCGTACCAACGGCAAATGATTTAGCACCATGAGTGTGAGGTATTTCTCTTGTACAGTCAAACTGATCTGCTTCTCCTTTGTTTTAGATTTAACAGTTTAATTTGACTGTTTATTCTTTTCTTGTTTACAATCACAGATATTTTAGAAACTTGTCTGAGTTTAATACGTTTGAGAGATTACTGGAAATGCACTACACTGATCTAGACTGATACGCTACAATTAAACAGCTATAAATTTAGTAAAAACGGCATGCAGTTATTTCAAATTTTTATAAATATATATTTTTTAAATTACATTTAATAAATGCCACCTTGATCAACAGATTAATTTTGATTTTAAAAACATGAAAAAAACTGACCCCAAACATTTGACTGGTAGAGTATAAACATAGAAACAAAAACTCTTTATGCACTTTTTTCTTCTGTTGAACAGAAGAGCTTCTGACATCCGATCCTGTCAGAAATTAACAAACAAAGGAGAAGCCGGAACAAACAGCAACAAATGATTCTTTCAGCAACCTAAAAGTTGAACAAACTGCCATGTTTAACTATTATCATCACCTTTTTGACTATTATGAACTCGGAATGACGTAATTACTTTCTCTTACGTACATGTGCTGGTGAATATTAGATACAGATGTCTGCAATGACTGGGCTTTATGTTGCGTGTTATTTTTGAACACGAATAAGGACTAAATGTTTAGTTGAATTTAGCTTTTCTGTAATTGGTAACATATTAGACATTGTAAGGGGCTGTATGTGTTCATATGTTGCATTTATTTATTTAATGTAATTGCAGATGTTTCAGTAGGTTATTTCGTACGTTATTAGATCATTGATCTGCAGTTATAATGAAATCCTGTTCATAGAAACGTTAGTAATGAACATTTATACACAAGTATTTAGGTGTATAAAGTATCTGTTTTGTGAGAAGTGCTTTTCGTATGATATGTGAATAAGCTTTAATTTGATATTTGAGTGAGAATGACATCAACTGAAACTTTTGTCGTCGTACACCACGCCCACCAAAAGAGTAGCAGTGGAAATGCAAGCCTCATAAAGGTGACTCGTACTGACCTGTACCTCACTATACTGTACCACTCAGTAGAAACGGGCAATTAAAGACAAGTACATTTTTTTAATTTTGGTTGAACCATTCCCCTTATGCTACACCACATCCCTTTAACCAACTGTGACTTCTTTTAAAACAGGCCCAAAAAAAGCAACACAGCTGCTTCAGTGTTGGGGATTGTTTGCCATGCCATGCTTTTATATATCCACAACAGTAACAATGACCTCATAACGCAAATAACATCACAAAGGCATGAACGGTGTTCGTTTAACCACAGCCGCCTTCATGTTAAGGATGGCCAGACCAATGCATAAGTCTCTATGCTAAAAAAACACCACAATTGTTCTTGTTGCCTCGGGAAACAGAGAATAAGTGGTCAGTGAACTCTGCTGCCGTTCGCCTTCAAGCGTGCATCTGTTGCTTCTCAGAAAGCCTGCGTCATGGGCCTCTACCAGTGAAAACACAAGCCACTACAAAGCCCTCTTTGGCTGCTCGCGCTCATTCCTCTCTGTCTCTTCCTCTCTGGGCTGATGACGCCACCTCTCCTTTTACAAGCACCGAGGCTCAACACGGCTGTGTTAAACAAGCAGTGTTTATGGCATCTTAGGGGTGTTATAGTGACATGATCGGGTTGCCAAAGCGCTGCACAAACACAGAGAGTGCGCTGAAGTGAGAACCTGCTGATAGTGCAGAGAGAGAGTGTGTTGTGTGTGTGTGTGTGTGTGTGTCAGAGCAGGGCTTTCGGTTATAAATACATTCTGCTGTGTGGAGTGGAACTGGACCCATAGCTGGCACAGACAGGCGGCTCGAGGGTTTGTGGTCAGCAAACCCAGGCCAGGCTATTCTGACATGAGCTGCCAGTTTTGCTACTGCCATAAGCAAGCATTTACAGCACCTCCAACGTCTGGTTTATCAGCTGCACCGGGGGCCGGGATGATGAGAAACGCTCTCACACATATTTAATGTGTGTGCTTTGAGTCATCTTCATGTTATGTGATAAAATTCACTTGATTTAATAAGTTGATAAATCTAATGAAGAAGTAATGAATGGAGAAATAAATGAAAAATATAATGGTCAATGACAAAAAAAAAAAAAAAAATAAACTTTTTTTTTTACACAAGTATTAAAATACTGCACTTGCACTAAAAGGTGCCATTTATGTAGTTCTCCACCTGCAAAGAGTCACAAAGATCAACTAACTACATATATAAGCATTATCACCCGAGTAGCAGTGCAATGTGGCTGTATATCAGCACTGGTCGCAGGCCGAGTGCCTTGGTGTCCCACCAGTGATCATATACAGCGACATCGCACCGCTACGAGTTTGATATTGCGTTTAACAGCAGTTTGATGGCATTATGGCATTAAGGAGTCTTAAAACTCTTTTGTAAGAGGAACTACTTTCTTCCGCGATTCATTCACATCTGCAGCTGACATAAGAACAGCAGGAACCGTTGCTAATTTATCAACGTCTCTTTAGAGCATGTATTTAAATGATTCTTTAGTGTAATGTCTAAAGATCACAATATTACTGTGGTAAAGATACAGCACTACAACAAACAAAAAAGAGAAAGATTGACTTAGAAAGTAATTTACATGTATAATAAAGATTTGATCAGCTGTAGTTTGAAATTACGCAGTTTTTCTCTTAGGGCTTATTATGCAGTCTCTGTTACCATCTTGTGGATGTACATTGTCAACCGTCTTACCTCAAAGACTGGCTAATGGCGCGTTGTCTCTCAGAGATTATAAACATTTTAAAATGGGCACTATCTTTATAAATAAACTGCATAGTTGCAATCTAAACAACTACATTCTCAACTAAAAAAAGCCTCAACTGTACATTATATGGTCCAACATAAGAGGCTGGGCGAGTGCTTTTACTGGCGAAACATTGCACGGCTATCACCCAATCAGATTCAAGAACCAGACAGAACTGTATGCATGTATGTATGTATGTATGTATGTATGTATGTATGTATGTATGTATGTATGTATGTATGTATGTATGTATGTATGTATGTATGTATGTATGTATGTATGTATGTATGTATATATGCATGCATGTATACACACACACACGTAACCAAAACTATTTTATTAACAGTTCAAATTTTTGTTTTGTTATGATTTTAGTTAGAATTTTTATATTGTAATATGATTTTAAAGTTTTTAATTATTATGTTGTTTACCATTTTTATAGCTAGTTATAAAAAGTGATCTTCAAATGTAAATTTTTCCCTTTAATTTACTTGTTTTTTTACTTGAAATACTACCAATTTTAGTTGTAAAAGTTTCATTTCATAACCATTTTAAACTTAACAATGATATCTTTAAAAAATAGAGAATAAATAAATTCTAATGTTCATTCATTCATTCATTCAATTTCCATCGGCTTAGTCCTTAATTTATCTGGGGTCGCCACAGCAGAATGAAGCACCTAAATACTCATGTTACCCTATTAAACTAATAAAAATATAATGAAATGTCATTACCTTAATAAACTGAACAGAGTTAATACTAATACTTAATAATATCTTACTGCAAAATTCAGCCGATTCAGTTTTATCAATTTATTTTACAGATTTGATTTTACATGTTATAGTGCATCCCTAACAAAAACATTAAGAGTTTGTATGATGAAAAAGTCTGAAAGATGAATTTCACAGGCACCAATTTTAAAATTGCACAAGCCTGCTTTATAAAAACTTTCTTTGTAAGAAGTTACAACAAACTTTCTTCTCTTTGTGAAGACATCTAACACTAAAGAAAAGCAAGCAAATGATGTAATCACACTAAAACGCTGCCCATTAACATCACCCAAAAGCAACAAAGTGGGTCATTATCCGAGCTCACTGGCTGATCTTACCTGGTCATACTCCAGCGCTCCTGGATAAAGCGGCCAGCCCAGGAAGAGCTCAGCGATGACGCAGCCCAGCGACCACATGTCTATGGCCTCACAGAAGGGTAAGCCCAGGATGATCTCCGGAGCCCTGGAACACATTATCAGGAAAGGATGAGAATTAATGGAGTGGATACCTTGACAACAGGCTGTTGATTGAAAAGCAATGGGACACTTGATTACGAACGCTCTAGAGAAGAGATCAAGCTATGTACGAGCAAAAAAGCCCCAAAATCAATATATTTTTAGAACGTTTTGCAAAATTCATACCAGCTATTTATATTGGGGTAGTCATGGTACACACTTGTATTCAATTTTCATTTTTTGTTTGTTGTTGGGTTTGATGTGCAAGTGCTCAGAAAAAATACATATTAACCACTGTTGTTTAATCGCTGCACGTGCAATGTAATTTCTCACATTTATAAAGTGCTTTTCTAGACACTCAAAGCGCTTTACAAATTGGGGGGAATCTCCTCATCCACCACCAATGTGCAGCATCCACCTGGATGATGCGATGGCAGCCATATTCCACCAGACCGCACAGCACACACCAGCTGATTGGTGGAGTGATGAAGCCAATTATGAAGGACAGGGTTAAACCCCTACTCTTTTTCAAAGGACATCCTGGTATTTTTAATGACCAGAGAGTGAAGGCCTCAGTTTAACGTCTCATCCGAAAAATGGTGCTCACTGAGCAGAATAGAGTCCCTATCAATATATTGGGGTGTTAGGACCCACACACACCACATGTTGAGCACATCCTGCTGGTCTCTCTAACACCACTTTTGGCAGCAACCTAGCTTTCCCATGTGGTCTTCAATCCAGGTATTGAGGTGCAGCCCTGTGTTGCTTCAGTTGGCGACCATGTGAGATTTACAGAGAGCAGACAGCCAGCTGATGAAAGTCATATATTACAATCAATGACACAGACTATTGTGAATTATTAAGATATTATTATTTAATGGCTCGTTAGCACGGTTTTATTTTTATGAAAAAATAAATAGCGATTTAATAGTTAAGTCTTTAATATGATAGTGATATGCAAGCAGTAGGGCTCCTTAAAAATCCGTTTTCAGCAACTATGCTGCTGGAATCAGCTTCCAGAAATGATCAGATGTGCGCCAACATTAGGCACATTCAAATCAAGACTTAAACACAACTGTTTAGCTGTGCCTTTACGGAATGAGCACTATGCTACGTCCGACAGATCACACTATTATGTCTTTCTTTTCTTTTTCATTCCTTTAAAACATGTTTAATACATTTTTAATTATTTTTATTCGCTGTTGTTATTCGTTTCTTGTGCTTATTTCTTTATGCAAAGCACGTTGAATTACCACTGTGTGTGAAATGTGCTATGTTAATAAACTTGCCTTGCCTATGAAGTAAACACTAACTTGTTTCCCTGTTTTATGCTTTTGACAGATGAATTGACAATTTTCCCCCCAATGAAAAAAAAAGAGACCAAAAATTCACCACTAGGAACACATCTACTGTTAAATGCAACATCACACATGATAAACTGACCCAGTACACCTACATAAACAAACTCATGCTCACTTAGAGTCATATTTTGCGTCCATACTGATATGATCAGTCTGATGACACGGCGCTCCTGTTCTGATACAGCCAGAGTCTGCTGTTGGATCTGGGCTTTGACGTCAACGGGCCCATACACATCTGCTACCGTGACAACCGGAGGGAAAATGCTGGCTGCCTAGCGACAGATGAGGATGGATCTTAACACTAAAACTGGGTGATGACAGAGGAGGAGTCTGATGGCATACAATTAACCCTGCTCCCCATTAATAATCAACTAGAGAGCACACTCTTCATGCACGGTCGCTCTGATGTTTTGCCTCTTGATTAAACATGAAGCACGTAATGTTAAAGGGGTCATGAACTGCATTTTTTCCTGTACTGTTCTCTAAGGTCCACTTCTAATCAAGACATTTTAACTTTGAAGTAGTAGGCTATTTACTGAATGTGTATTGAGCCCTCTGATTGGAAACTATTTATGATTGTGTAGCGGACTGTATGGTATGATTGGCTAACAGTTTTGCTTATTTAAAGAGGGGTCTTTACCAATTTAAACTTCTGCATGTACGGTTGACAGCCTACATTTTTCATAAATGAAAATGCTGTGATTTTTGGTTGAAAAATGCCGACATCATACAAAATCAAACAATCTGTAATGACAGACAAAGCAATAGGTAACTCCAATCAATCAGCTTAAGATCGGTATCGGCCGATAATCAAATTTAATAACTCGATCGGTACTATCCAATCTGGCCAATCTCATGAACTGATCGCAGGGGTTTGAATAGTTAATAATATAACTTCCTGTAATATAATTATTGCAATAAACTGTAGTTTATAGGCCTATTTGCTTTTAGTAAAGAAGTATTGGATTTAAAGCTGTGCATCAATAGTGCACTCCAAACTTGTTCATAATTGAGACATGTTGAATTCATAATTTGAAATGTTTCCAAATTGCATTGTTTGTTATTTTTCTTACCAATTTTTATATCTGTAAATATTATTTTCTGTAAAGCTACTTCTGGCCATGACATGTCCACACTGGAAGATGTTCTTAATGCATTATAAAGCTTGTAGCATAAGAATCAGTACTCGGTATTGGCTAAACACCAAGACAAAGAATCGGTACTCTGTATCGGCTGCAAAAATCCTGATCGGAGCATCCCTAGTGAACTTATTAACACTTGTATGGTGCGACATTAGTGTTGGATTTAAAATAGTTGGTATAACAGACTTTCTTTCAATTTTACTGAAAACCCTGCGTCAAATTGTGCCTCTTCAATAAATTCAAATAAACAAAAAAATAAATAAGTAAATTGTGACAGACATGGTCAGCAATTTCATAAATTTTTTTTTATTAAAAATAAAAGTTTATCCTTTCTTAACATAGGGATAAAAAGATAAAAAGGCAATGCCTTAGATTTGGTGTATTCCAGCATAAGCTTGTTGTTATTATAGCAGGCAATGATCATCTGGAGAGATGGAGTTCAGCCAAAATATTATGTAATAAAGTCAAATTAAACTGCAGTTTTTAATAAGCCATTTTTAGAACAAACAAGATTTTTTTTCTTTTTCTAAAACTTAAAGGGAACTTTAAAAAAGTACAAATATCAAGCAAATTTAGATTTTCAATTCATGACCCCTTTAAAGGACAGAGTTAAAACATTAACTGTTGCTAGAGTTACTGATACCAGAATACGTCAGTGTCTGTAACTACCAACGAACGGTACTCTACTTATGTGGTAACAAAAGCCACTGTGAATAATTCACCAGTAGCTTGGCAATGTGAGACTACCTGTTTTTTTTGTCTAAGCCTTTAGACCCCTTCAAACCAGTCTCTTCATAGTGAAAGGTGCTGCAGTCCACATGCTGGGAGTCATTTTAAACTGCATATCCCATTATTTGCACACACAATGACGCACTATAACAACGTAACCACCAAAAGGAAAGAAAAAAAATGATGTAGGAAGGTCCCCACAGTGCAATGCTAGATATGACTGAGCATCTATAAGTGGACTGAGTTGCCTTAAATAATTTGCATGCAAAAAATAATTAAATAAAATAATAAATCATAAAAAATAGAAAAAAAATTAATAGTATAGTGTGTTATGTATAGTCCAATATGTATATTCAGTGTCAACACTTCAAAAGAGCTCAGTATGAAGTTAAAAATAAGCAAAATTATGTTTAATACTAATAGCAACAACTATACATTTAAAAAAAAAAAACTACTACAAATTTTTTTTTAGAATAATTATTAACACTATTATTATTTCTGATAGCACAATATTAATATTAACAATTGGATAGTACAAATAATAAAATTATTCTAATAAAAAAAAAAATGAAAAATTATCAAGGGCCCAAATAGACTCAGAGGGCTAAGTTTTATAGTAATAACAACAAAAACTAAATTATTAAAATAAGAGTCAATAATTAAATTTTAAAATATATTAATATTACATGATTTAATTGCATATAGCTAGGTGTATATTAAATCACTAGTGGGTTTCCTTTTCATTTTTTTACACCACTTTTAATAAAAAAACTTAAATAAATTAAAAAAATGCTGAATGAGTTGAATTAAGCTGGGGTAAAAATTTGCTTTTTTATAATAAGACTAATAATTAATTTATTTTTCTTATAAAACTAATTAACAAAGAAGAATGCCATTGACACAAATTACCCATACTCAAATGAACTCCATTTTGAACGCAGCCATTATTAAAACCATGGCACGGGTGGCTTTTTTCTACCCTGGTAACAGCATGGCTTAGCTGACCATACAAACTTGAGCACGTCTGGCAACAGGACAAAACAGTGCTCTATATTCTGCACAAGATCTTATGGACTAAACCCTAATAAACCTCCAGCATAGTCATGGGCAAGGGAACTAAATCTAAAGCCTAACATAAGTTAAGCTCCGGCTAAACTCAATAGCAAAGGGGCAATGAAGGACGTCAGTCAACAGACCATAAATGCTAACATCTTTAATTTTACATCCAAATTATACTGTCACCGCACTTGACTTCAGCTCCAAGATATATTTATAACTTTGTCTTCTCATTTATATCAATGTGGTTTTAAAAAAAAAATCCCGTCAGCAGGAAGTCACATTTCAGGTAAAAGAATTAGGGGAAGTTACAGAAATCAGGTCAGAAAAAAATTATGACATAACATGGCAGGTCTGAACTTCCCAACTTAAACAAAGAACGTTACTGTTAAGACTATTTCAGGCCTGCTTTTGCACCCCGTGTCTTATTTGCCCGAGTTCAGGCCAGACTTCAAAATGCTCAAGCTTCTCCCCCAGAGTAAGATAAGATTTCATAGTGCTTATTTCAGTACAAAGCTTATTTGTGAACAGCTGCCAGGAAAAGCGTTGGCTAAAAACAAACTAACAAACAGCATGACGTGATTCTCATCATTTCTAATTTCACACCGCTACTGCACGCAAACATTAGGTAACATGAGTTATTGAGCAAATGTCGAGCTGGTGACATGTCATTTTATTAAATACAGATGTCTCAGGCAACATGGTAATGATGATAGATG